CGAAACCAGCCTGAGCAAGAGCGAGACCCGTTTCCACTATGAATAGAAAGAAAGTAATTGGCCAACTAAAAATATATAGAAAAAATTAACTGGGCATGGTGGTGCATGCCTGTAGTCCCAGCTACTCGGGAGGCTGAGGCAGGAGGATCGCTTGAGCCAGGAGTTTGAGGTTGCTGTGAGCTAGGCTGACGCCACGGCACTCACTCTAGCCTGGGCAACAAAGGGAGACTCGGTCTCAAAAAAAAAAAAAAATTATATTGTGTTTTTCTTTTCTCTTTTCCACACTGGCCCTTCCGATCAATCATATGTGAAGAACATTCCATGTGTAAGTTGCTTTAGAAGCTGGTTTCACCAGATAAGATGAAACTATGAGAGAGGCACTACTATTCTCACTGTTTTACAGATGGGAGAACTGAGGCACCGTTTTCCCAGAGCCAAAGAGGGCAGTGATGGGGGGAAAAGTCCAGTCCAGGCTGCCTGGCTGCCAGGCCTGTGCACCCCCTGCCATGCCATCCGGCCAGCTGCACAGGGAGGGGAACTGGCTGGGAATGGGGACAACAGGAGCCCCGAATCTGAAGGTGAGGCCCTCCTGGGAGTTCGAATAAGGCAGCCCTGTTCAGGTAAAGCCATTGCGGAAGGAAGCCATTGTGGTGGGCAGGAAGGTGAGCATTTGATTTTCAAAGGGTTTTCTGCTTTGTAGGAGGGCGACGGAGATTCTCCTCGTATGCATTCAGCAGGTCATTCCATGAAAATATCCTTCATGATGGATAATTTTCCAGAAAAAACAAAATCCAAGATATAAAGTCTAATTGAATTGTCAGGCCTGGCGCGGTGGCTCACGTCTGTAATCCTAGCACTCTGGGAGGCTGAGGCTGGTGGATTGCTCGAGGTCAGGAGTTCAAAACCAGCTTGAACAAGAGCGAGACCCCGTCTCTACTATAATACAAAGAAATTAATTGGCCAACTAAAAAAATATATAGAAGAATTAGCGGCATGTGGCGCATGCCTGTAGTCCAGCTACTCGGGAGGTGAGGCAGGAGGATTGCTTGAGCCCAGGAGTTTGAGGTTGCTGTGAGCTAGGCTGACGCCACGGCACTCACTCTAGCCTGGGCAACAAAGCAAGACTCTGTCTCAAAAAAAAAAAAAAGAATTGTCAGAGGGTCTAAGTGATACAGTTGTCATGGTATTTTTTTTTTGGCTCTTGAGGTGATTCCCTAAATAATAAGCAAAAATATGAAATGCTGATATCCTGGATCTAATAAATATATGGATGACTCCCCTAAGATGAGAAAGAATTATTGAATTAAGCCTAAGAACACTATGTTCACATATTAATCTCAGCTTCAAATGTCAATTTTAGTTTCTATTTTTATTCTAATAACAGAAATTGTCTCTTCAATTTAATTTTGCTCTTTCAACTTCTCTCTTGTGCTGCGCTTCAGTTTGGCCTATTTTGTGAATACTTGACACACTTTGAGGTCCTCTAATTGGGTTAGCCTTTCTTATTCATGACATTTATAATGGGTCTAAAATGATCTGCTTATTCTAGTTTGAACACACCTTTTATCCATATATGCAAATATTTTCTCTCATTTCTAATAATTATTCGTTTTGCTGGTGTCATCTTGCCTTCCTTTCACTGTATCTGTGAAAGGCAAGTTAAGAGAATTCTATAATATTTTAAAATAATTAAATAAAACATGATTAAAATGTAATATATATCCATCGTAAGAGAAACAAGATCTAAGAATGTGCGTCAGGTAAAATGACAAAGTCCCTACCCTCATTCTTTTTTTTTTTTCTTTTTTTGAGACACAGTCTCATTCTGTTGCCCAGGCTAGAGTGCTGTGGCATCAGCCTAGCTCACAGCAACCTCAAACTCCTGGGCTCAAACAATCCTCCTGCCTCAGCCTCCCGAGCAGCTGGGACTACAGGCATGCGCCACCATGCCCAGCTAATTTTTTCTATATATTTTTAGTTGGCCAATTAATTTCTTTCCATTTTTAGTAGAGACAGGGTCTCGCTCTTGCTCAGGCTGGTTTCGAACTCCTGACATTGAGCGATCCTCCTACTTCAGTCTTCCAGAGTGCTAGGATTACAGGCATCAGCCACTGCGCTTGGCCCCTCCCCCTATTCTTCCTAGCCCTCCCAACCCGGTGCCCCCGGGTGACTCTGATGGCAGAGAAGGGTCCCTGCCTATACTTCCTTGCAGACACAAATACTCCATATCTCAGAAAACAGTGCGATTCAGTTAAAACCTTCCCTCCAAATAGAGAAGGAAAATTTCCTTAATTATTTAAAGCTCTCTGTTAGAATGAAGAAGGAAGCAGTGAGACACTCTCTACATTTTAAAGCTCATGAAAGGAAATGCAGTGTCATAGTTTGGGGACCGATCAAGTTCCCTTGAGGGAGCAAGGGGGTGGCCCCAAGACAGGGCTGACGCACAGCCGGCACAGCAGGAAGTCAGGGGTCGATGTCTGAAATTCACAATCAAGGGCACCCATGTAGGCATCTTTATGTATTAATAAGGTTGCTTTTGGGAAGTAGGGATAGAGTAGAAAGGAAATACAGGGAATTGTTGCTCTTTCCAAGAGGTATTCATGGAGGCATTGTTTTTTTTTTTCTTTCTTTAGAGATAGTGTCTCACTCTGTTGCCCATGCTGGCAGGCGGTGGCTAGACCATAGCTCACTGCAGCCTTCAACTCCTGGGCTCCAATGATCCTTCTGCCTCAGCCTCCTGAGTAGCCGGGATTACAGGAGCATGCTCCTGCACCTGGCCAATTTCTAAAATTGTTTTGTAGAGACAAGGTCTTGCCATGTTGCCCAGGCTGGTCTTGAACTCCTAACTTCAAGTGATCCTCCTACCTCAGCCTCCCAAAGCACTGGGATTTACAGGTGTGAGCCACTGTGCCCAGTCCACATAGGTACTTTTATATATTAAATGAGGTTGCTTTGGGGAACTAGGGACAGGGTGGAAAGGAAATGCAGGAAATTGTTCCTCTTTATTCTAAGCCCTATTGTGCTTTTTAAATGTTCAAAACATGTCCAGGCTTTATCCAGGCAAGTATACGTTATAAGAAAAATCAATTTTCAAAGCTTGGCATGAAACAGTGCTCAGTAATCATTAACTCTGATTATTATTGTAGGTGGTGCAATTATAGATTATCTGTAAATATTTGCAAAGGGACAACATGCAGAAAGTAGACTTTAAAGAAGTTCTGTTCCAAAAGATGACAGCGTTCATATTTTTTTGATTTGTTTCTTACTGAATGGAATTTAGGTGCAAAGTTATAAATGAGAAATCAAACATTCTAACTTCCTGAGGAATCCACACATCCACAGACACATCCGTGTTTCTGTCATAGTTTCCCTGAATATGGTACAGTCATTCCTGAGGCTCTATTCCATTTCTTTGAGTTTAAGCCAAAATATAGCTTTGCTGCTGCTCTAATTTAAAGGTTGGTAAAGTACTGCCTGTTTTTGTAAATAAGGTTTTATTGGAACCCAGCCTATTCATTTATATGTTGCTTATGGCTGTTTTTTCCCCTGTAAAGCAAAGAATATTTATTATCCAGCCCTTCAGAGAAAAAGTTTGCCAACCTCTGGTCTGATCCACCTAAAACAAAAATATGGAACGCACTGAGATGTACTGTGCTGTGTGTCTCTTTTTGCCTGTTCTGGCTTGAAATGATTATTCAAATAAGCTGATTTGCTTTCCTCTTTGCTCCAGACTTAAGGAGGAAATAAATCACCAAAGCACCAAATTGCTAACTACCACCCTGTTCTCTTAGACCTGAGGTCCTTAGAGTTCATCCCATTTTTGAAAGCATTTTCAAAATGCAGGCATTCTCTGCAAGTCTTCCCTGACCTTCGCCGTCAGAGAACATCACTCTTTCATGAACTTGGTGATGCTGCCCCTTGTGTTGCTGTGGCATTTCTCCTGTGAGGCTCAGGTCTCCTGTGTGACTACAAGTGCCTTGAGCGCATAATCCTTTCCTTATTTGTCTTTGCATCTCGCCGGTACATTTAACCCTACCTCCTTAAGCAGTGCCTGTGGAATGAATCAAGGTTGAATAATTGAAAGTAAATGTTTCTTTCTTTTTTTTTTTTGAGACAGAGTCTAGCTTTGTTGCACAGGCTAGAGTGAGTGCCATGGCGTCAGCCTAGCTCACAGCAACCTCAAACTCCTGGGCTCAAGCAATCCTCCTGCCTCAGCCTCCCGAGTAGCTGGGGCTACAGGCATGCGCCACCATGCCCGGCTAATTTTTTTCTCTCTATATATATTAGTTGGCCAATTAATTTCTTTCTATTTATGGTAGAGACGGGGGTCTTGCTCTTGCTCAGGCTGGTTTCGAACTCCTGACCTTCAGCAATCCGCCGGCCTCGGCCTCCCAGAGTGCTAGAATTACAGGCGTGAGCCACCGCGCCCGGCCAAATGTTTCTTTTTAATGATTAAAACTATTCTCTTCTTCAAGAGTACCTATCCACAAGCACATGCATTAGCATGGGTTTCATAGTTCAGGTAAGTCTCAGACCAGTTCTTCCACAGCCCTAATTTGCCTAGTGTTCTTTAAATGACTCTTAAGCAAAGTAAGCTGCACAAAAATATAGTCCCTGGAGATAAAAGCGTGCACCCCACTGACCAGAGATGGCCCACATGGCCTCCTCCACTTGATGTGCGTTCTCGGTGATGTTATAAACGACGACGTCACACTCCAGCAGGCGCAGGAGGAGGTCTTCCCGAGAGATGTTCTGGAAAAGAAAAGTGGCAGTCATTTGCAGCAAGAAGCTAACAAGGTAACCTTAATATATAGATAAAATGACAGTTTCCAAAATAGATATGCTACATTGAAGAGTCCCACAGGAAACGGTTGTGGAAGCATTTCTATTTAAAATGAAATTTTGTTCTCTTCTGTGTACAGTTTACAAGTAACAAAGAAGGTTATGAAAATAGCCTGGAACAGGTGATTAGGAAAGTTGCATAATGATCTTAGGCACTATTTCTGCACGCTATTTAAACTCCAATTCAGAAGGGAAGAATTAGAACACACTGGAAGAAAAATGAGTGAAGCATTTAAAACTAACTCAAGCTCTATGCAAGATTATTTGAGCAATTATATATCATGAATCACTTAGAAGTGCTGATGAGTGATTAATTTGGATAGTTTCACAATCCTCAAGACAGAATGAACCTGTTCTCTCTTTCAAGATGTAAGGTACCTTATTACAGTTGACTCTTGGGAATATCTTAAAAATACAGAAACTTTTAATGTTTAAAGATGTAAAGTTTTTACATCAGACAGAAGTAACTTTGGTGACCATTGTGCTAGCAGATTTCCCAGCAGTACAATACCATGGGTGGGTGTTAACATAATCAGAAGAGGACCCTGGATCTGCAAACCAGGTTTGCATTTGTTGCTATGCTATTCCCATTGTCCCAAGCATCAGATATTCCTCCACAGTTTCTTGACCAGTTGCATTAAAGTAGAACCTTGCCGGGCAAACTTGGTCTCTTACCATACAACTTGGTTGGAGCACAAAGGAAAGTAGATGCATTCCTTGTGAAAGGATGGGACTGCCCTGGTGAGGTTAACACATCCTTATTAAAATTCAACAGCACACACCACTGCTGGCTTCTCTCGCCCTGTTCTCTAGGTCCCTTTGTATCCATCTGTGTTAGTTTGCTAGGCCTATTGGAACAAAGTACCACAAACTGAGTGGCTTAAACAACAGGAGTCTCAGAGTTCTGGAGGCTAAAAGTCCAAGGTCAAAGTGTTGCAGGGTCGTCTCCTTCTGAGGTCTATGAGGGAATCTGTCCCATGCCTCTCCCCTACCTCTGCTGGTCGGCTGGCAAACGTTGCCATTCCTTGGCTTCTGGAGGCATTACCCTCATCTCTGCCTTGATGTTCACGTGGCATTCTCCCCGTGTGCTGTGTCCAAATTTCCCCTTCCTATAAGGACACTGGTCCTACAGGATTATGGGCCCACCTTTACAACCTCCTTTTAACTTGATTTCCTCTGCAAGGACCCCATCTCCAAATAAGCTCACATTCTGAGGTACCGGGGGTTAGGAAGTCAGCTTTTTTGTGTGTCAGGGTGGACACAATTCAACACATTCTCCAGCCACTCAGTTCCTTATCTGGTCTGAATGTGGAAGAGGGAAAATGCTCTGAAAATATTGATGCAAATATCAACATGTACTTTACCAATAGCATGGCAAATGTGAAAGGATACTGCCTCCCCAGTATACCTGGGGCTGATCTAGATTCAGGAATGACACACCAAAGAGAAGAAGAGAGAACACTGGAAGAACAGGAGGAATCAAAGACATGTGTTCTAGATGTGTCCAAGAGAAAGAAGGTAAAGCATCTATAACTCCAGCTTGTAAAAGCAGGTAAGAGTGGTGTCCATAGGAAAATACACACATTTGCCCGGGCGCGGTGGCTCACGCCTGTAATCCTAGCACTCTGGGAGGCCGAGGCGGGCGGATGGCTCAAGGTCAGGAGTTCGAAACCAGCCTGAGCAAGAGTGAGACCCCGTCTCTACTGTAAATAGAAAGAAATTTAATTGGCCAACTAAAAATATATAGAAAAAATTAGCTGGGCATAGTGGCACATGCCTGTAGTCCCAGCTACTTGGGAGGCTGAGGCAGGAGGATTGCTTGAGCCCAGAAGTCTGAGGTTGCTGTGAGCTAGGCTGATGCCATGGCACTCTAGCCTGGGCAACAAAGTGAGACTCTGTCTCAAAAAAAAAAAAGAAAAGAAAAGAAAAAGAAAAATATGCACACTTGTTAAATTCTGGCTGCATCGATTTAGAACAAAACAGCCACATTTGCAAGAGAATAGTGGTCCCAACCAGATGTTGAGTGACCATATTTGTGCATTCATTTGTTCACCCAACAGACATCTGTGGGCCCTGCTTTTGACCCTGGTGATAGAGGCCAAATGAATAATATATGGCTGCTAATACTATGGAGAATCATGTGTGTGTTTTATTGAGAAAACTCTGGGCAAATAATTATGTTCTAATATAGACAACTTCTTGTCTACATATTTAGGTTTCATATTAAATGCATATGAAAACTTTGTATAAATTAGAAAAAAGGCAACCTGCTCTTGGTGAAAAAATTCTAAGAAGGCATATGCTCTGGGGCACAGAGCAGCCAGCAAAACAGGCTGTTCTGCAGCCTTCACCCTTATCCACGCACCCTTGTACAGTGTGCAACCTGTACAGCTTGGCACGGCAGCCCCACATGCGGAAAGGGCTATCGTAGATTTCATCTGAGGTTTAATGGACTAGGAGGAAGATGTGATTGTGTCTCCTGGGAAGTTGACATTTGAGCTGCACTGGAAGGGTGACTGTGAGCTCACCTGGCAGAGCCTGGGATGTTCAGGGAATAGCAGGCAGTTTGCTGAGCCAAGTAGAGGCACCTTTCACAACCTGCACCAGCACAATGTTTTCCATCCTCAACTCTCCCTCAGCTTTTCTGCCATCCTTACTTCTTCACTTTAGCTCCTTAACCCATGCACTTTCCCAGGGTTCCCTTGTGTGGTGTTTCCTTCCTCCCTTTTCTGTCTTGCTAGCTCTACTCGGCCCTGGAGGCCTAGTCTCAGCCCCACCATCTCCAGTAGGTCCCAGGCTCCCAAAGGAGGCCATCTGCTGACTCCAGATGGATCTAAAGATCAGAGGAGCTTAGGGGGCCTCGATCTGTTTGGCAGGGAGGGGTCTGAAGCTTCATTTGCCTGGCTCTATAGATAAAACTGAAAATTCATCAACTGTCCCTTTCAGAGTGCTCCGGGAGCTGCTGTGTGCACACGTCTGTCACCACGTTTGCTGTACCGCTACACAGTCCCTGCCAGGCTGTGAGCTCCACGTTCACCTATGGACCTTCGAGGTGCTCAACACACATTTGCTGAATCAAATTCAGGTGACTAGTGAGAGGTGACGGAGATCTGAACTAATGCGAATGGCTGTGAGAATGGGAAGGAGGGGCTCACGGAGATGGGCGGAGGATTCCTGCCCACCAGGATGTAGAAGTCCAGGCCAAGGGAAGAGCCCACGGTGATGGAGGCGTTCAGCTTTGGTGGAGGTGGTGCAGGATGAATGGGATAAAGGACACTGGTGGTTTGTCTGCAAACATCCATTTCCTCTTCCTCTTTCCCAACAGAACCCCAATTTTGTTCAAATACTCCCCCCTTCTCAGCCTCCAGGAAATTGACTCCATCTTCTGGCTTAAGGGATGAGTCTTATTGATCGAAGCGTAAATGTTTGGTTCAGGAAAGGGCGTATGACCCAATGCAGGCCAGTGAGATTCAAGGAGATGCTTGCCAAGACCTCCTGGCAATGTTCATCCTCCTTTCTCTGAGACTTTCTGGAAGTTTTTTTTTTGTTGTTTTTTTTTGTCGGGGTGTTGCTGTGTGTGAATGTAAGGCTCTGGGTTGTTGCAGCCTTGCTGCCAGCCTGAGGATGAAGTCACCCACAGAAGAGAGCAGAGCCCAGGAAGGGGCAGGAAAAGGAGCTGGAGCTCCTGAATCATGTCAGCCCTGAAGCTGGTTCCACCTCTGGGCCGCCGGCTACATAAGCTGATGAATTTCCTTATTGGTCAAGCCAGTTTGCATTGCCTTTTCCTCTATTACTTGCAGCCCCAAACAGCCCCAGCTGATAGAGATAGCAAGGTCCTTAGTGAATCAGGAGTGCAAAGGGCAGAGTGGTTTTGTAGAGGAGTGCGATAAATAGGGCTTTAAGTATGTCGATTTGGCAGTGCCTGCAGGACAGCCAGGCCAGCGGGCTAGCCCAGGCAGCTGGATTTGAGGGTCAGGCTGAAGAAAGACTTGAAAAGCAGAGGCTCATATGGGGAGCTGAAGCCACGGGACTGGAGAAGATTTAGGAAACACACTTATTATGAGGAAGGAGGGAGCTCCAGGGAAATTGCATTTAAAGGGTGGAAAGAGGAAAAGGAGCCGTTGAAAAAACGCGTAGGAAAGTCAAGGCGTAACAGCAGTCCAAGGAGGGGAGGAGAGTTTCTCTTGGCACCCAGGATGCTGCTGCTCAGAAAGCCAGGTGAGATGAGCCCTTGGGATCGCTGGTGAAACTGGCATTTCCCGTGAAGTGGTGGGGGCAGAGCCTGCTGGCATTGCACAGACCAGGGAATGGGGGGTGAAGGAGAGAGGTCTACAAATGTGGCCAGTCCCCTCCTGAAGTTCAGTGGGAGGGGGCAAGGGAGAGGAAGAGGCTGGTGGCCAACAGGGAGGCCAAAGTAAGTGTTTCTCACAATAAGAAATGATTTGAGTATATGTATAGGTGGAGGTGAAGAAGCCAGTGGCGAGTGAGAAAAAGGGGGTAAATGGTAAAGAAAGGTCCCAAAGGTGTTGAAAGAGGACTCATTCACCCATCTCGCAAATATTTCTCCAGGGCCACTTTGTGCCAGTGGTTGTGTTAGTACCGAAGATACATGGATAAACACAAGGATAAATGAGGCAGTCTCTACCCTCCAGGACCTGACAGTGAAACTCATGGGCCCCACAAGAGACAGACGATAACAGTGGAGTGTGAAAAGCGTTATGATCTAACGAGCTACCCAGATAAAGGGTGCTATGGGAGCTCAGAAAAGAGCTCAGAATCCAAACCAGGAGTGGGGAGAAGCAGGAATCATGGATGGCTTCCTGGAGGAGGTGATCTCATGAGTTAAATCTTGAAAAATGAATAGGTTGGGTGAAGAAAGAGGGGAAGGCTGTTCCAGGTGATAGGGTGTGCAAAGCTGTAGGGTAGGGTCCAGAGAGTAGCAGGAGGGGTAAAGGGGGGAGTTAGCTTGGGGGAAGAGGGTACCCCTTCTCTGGTATTTAAATATCTCAGGATAAGGATTATGCAGGATTTGTCACCTGAAGGCAGCACTGCTTCTCAGTAGTGGCATATTATTCCTGATCGGCTTATTACCAAAGGGTAATTTTCTCTCTCCATGGCACAGAGCTGTCTTGGATCATTCAGGGCAGAATGTGCTTTAAGCACAGAATGGAGAAGAATTTTGTGAGTCTGAAAGTCCAAATCAGATCCATCCTTTCCAAGACTAATTTAAATTCTTTGCTTCAGCCAAAAATTGAAAGTGGAGACCACATGGCTAACCCCTGTCACAGGAGACAGGCGTGCCGGCAGGCCTGGCACGAAGTGGCCCAGAGGGACTGAGAGGCAAAGAGTAGCGGCGTCTTGCAGAGGCGCCGGGCGGAAGGGGACTTCCCCTTTGCAGCCGGCCAAGCGCATCGCAGTACTTACAGAGTAAGTCTCTATGGCGAAGTCCGGCCGCGGGCATTCCGGCGAGGACAGCGTGCCCACGATCTGGAACGTGCCCTCCTTCAGTTTGGCCAGCGCGGCTTCCGGCAAGCCTGATTTAGTCTCATCCTCCTCCTCCTCCTCTTCTGTAATTTCTTCAAGGGAAGCCCCAGCGACACAGTTAGACAGATACTGCAAGAAAACAGGCGGCCCGCGCCGGCGGGCGGGTCAGCAGGCTGGGGTCCCCGAGTGGCGGCGCTGCAGGCATGGTGGGGGTCCTGGCAGGGCCGGCCGGGGCGCGCTTCGTCCCACGGACCCCAGATCCAGCACTTGCCCCCACGTTTGGAGCTGACTCCGACTCCACAGCCCAGACCAGCCCCCCTCCCTCCACGACCTCATCAACAATCGCCCCTCCCCTCCAGACCCGCATTCCCACAAACTAGCTCCCTCCCTCCGGAACACCACACCCAAACTCGCCCTTGCCTCGGCACCCCACCCCACAACTCAGCCCCCCTCCCTCCGGACCCCACCCCACAACTCAGTCCCCCTCCCTCCGGACCCCATCCCACATCTCAGCTCCCTCCCTCCGACCCACCCTACAACTCAGCCCCCCTCCCTCCGGACCCCACCCCACAACTCAGCCCCCTCCTTCCGGGACCCACCCCACAACTCAGCCCCCTCCCTCCGGACCCACTCCCACAACTCACGTCCCCTCCCTCGGCCCCATCCAATCCAGCTCCCCTCCTGCTCGGACCCCACCCTTCAACTTCAGCCCCTTCCTGCAGGACACCCACAACTCAGCCCCTCCTCGGACCCCACCCACAACTCAGGGGCCCCCCCTCCAGACCCATCCCACATCTCAGCGTTCTCCACGGACCCCACCAACTCAGCCCCCTCCCTCAGATCACCACAACTCAGCCCTCCTCCGACCCCAGCCCCAACAACTCAGCCCCTCCCTCCGGACCCCACCACAACTCAGCCCCCCCTCCCTCCGCGACCCCCACCCCACAACTCTATCCGCCTCCTCCGGCCACCCACCACTCCAGTTCCCTCCCTCCGGCCCCACCCACACCTCAGCCCTCTCATGACCCCCATCCTCAAACTACCCACCTCCGGACCCCACTCACACTCGCCCCCTCCTCCGGACCCACCACAACTCAGCCCCCCCGTCCGACCCCACCCAACTCAGCCCCCCTCCCTCGGACCCACCCCAAACTCAGGCCCCCTCCTCCGCGACCCCACACCTGACAACTCAGCCCCCTCCCTCCGGACCCCACCCCACACTCAGCCCCTTCCGTCCGACCCCACCACAACTCAGGCCCCTCCCTCCAGACCCACCCACACTCAGCCCCTCCCTCCGACCCACCCACACTCAGCCCCTCCCTCCGGGACCCGATCCTCAATCAGCCCCCTCCTCCGACCCCACTCACAACTCAGCCCCTCCCTCCGGACCCCACCCACGAACTCAGCCCTCCTCGACCCACCCACAACTCAGGCCCCCCTCCCTCCGGACCCACCCTCAACTCAGGGCCCCCTCCTCCGCGACCCACCCAAATCAGCCCCTCCTCGACCCCTCCCTCACTCAGCCCCCCTCCTCCGCGACCCACCCACAACTCAGCCCTCCCCCCTCCGGAAACCATCCACCAGCCCCTCCCTCCGCGGACCCACCCAAACTCAGGCCTCCCCCGGACCCCACCAAACTCAGCCCCTCACCTCGGGACCCACCCACACTGCAGCCCTTTCTCCGACCCCACCCAGAATCTGGCCCACTTCACTCCACACCCCACCCCAGACCCCTGCCCCACTCCACCCAATCCCAACTCAGCCGCCTCCCTCGGACCCACCCAGACTCCCTGGTACCCGACCCAGAATGCGCCCGAGGGTGTGGCGGCAGCGCTGGGGAGTGGTGGGGAGTGCGCAGCTCTCAGGGGCCTCAGGTGTCCTCCAGGTGGTGCCTGCGCAGCAACATTCCCCAGAGGAAGGGGAGAGACAGCGAACCTCTGGAGGCCCGAGTGTCCTGTGCGACGCGAGCGGGGACACGATGCCCTTCACTGCAGTGTCCACATTTCGGGCATGTACTGTGCGTGTAGAATTACCGCTGTGCGTGACAGTCGGTACCCAGGAGCGGAGCGCACTGGAGGGTGTGCGCGGCGTGCCTGGGGGTGCGCTCCAGCCCGCCCCAACCCGCTGTCCCAGCGGCGTCCGTGGTTGTCCACAATAGTGACAGCAAGGAGCGGCTCTAGGACGCGTCGCATGTGACCTGGAGTAATTCCTGCCAGGATTCTCTTTTTCCCTTCTCTATGTGGGGTTTAAACTGGCGATCAGTGTTTTGCCCTTGAAATCAAAAAGCAGTGGCAACCTGTCATAGTTAAAAACATTTGCTTACGCTTATAATCCAGACTCTGGGGGGCCAGGGGAGGTGGGGCGGATTGCTGGGAGTTGGGGAGTTCGAAACCAGCCTGAGGGAGACCCTGTTCCTACCTAAAATATGAAGAAATAATGTGACAATAAACGTATATATCAAAAAAAAAAAAAAGAGTGTAGTTTTCTGGTTCTCTAGTCAGTATGTGTTTCGTTTGAGTGGATGCGTAGTGGGGGTGGTCGTTTTTTGCCGTGGTGGGGGAGGCGGGCTGACGGACGGCGACTCACTCTAGCTGGGCAACAACGTGAGATCTGTTCAGAAACGAAAAACAAAACAAAAACAAAAACAAAACCAAACCCACATTTGCTTGGAAAAAGAAAAAAGGAGAAACGCAAAGAAGTTGTATCAGAAATCTCAATACTAAGCATTAGTAGAAGCATGGCGATCAATGATGGATTCTAGAAACTAGCTTTTTGAGGGCTTGTTAGGTGCCACACAGGCAAGACAGATATTTCACACTGTCACCTCCTTTGAGTCGATTAACTCCCATGATAACACAGGTGAGGCGGCGCCTGTGGTGATTCCCTGTTTTATAGACAAGGATTCAGTCTGGGGAGACTTCATAACTTGCTGAAGGGTTCTACCCTGCTACAGCAGAGGTAGCTCTGGGCTGGGTCTGTGGAAGGTGTTTCTCTTGTCCAAGTAAAATAGCAAAATGTAATATGAGCCACTTAGGTAATTTAAATTTCTAGTAGCCACACTTAAAAAATGACAGGAACAGATGAATTAATAAATAATTATATATTAATTATGTTATTTAATCCAATATATCTGAAATATTAATTTAATATGTAATCAATACATTATTAATGAGAATTTTACATTTTTTTTTCATATGAAGTCTCGAATTCTATGTGCATCTTTACACTGATAGCACATCATTCATTTGACAGCCCCTGTAAGTGTTCAATGGCTACACTTGGCCAATTGCTATCGTGTTTAATGATGAAATAGAATGAAGTTGACAAAGTTCTTTTCTTGTTTTTACAAAAGCTATCCTTGACAGTGGCTCATGTAAGGTTTCAGAATTTCATTCACATGTATGTAAATATCATTCCTATATATGTTAATCATTTTATGTTAATTTATATATTAAACATATATAAATAATCATGGCATTAACATACCTTGGGAATAAAAATATAGCAAAACCAAACAAACAAAAAGTCCCACCTCATTTATTTTGCTAAAAAACAGTACAAGTTAGCATGCCAGGTTGTCAGCTTCAACATTGTGTTGGAATATATTTCTCCCAAGTACGTTATGTATATTTTCATTTATTTCTCCAACATACATATTTAATTTTATTATCCCCTTTCACAGAAGCAGAAATTGGTGCCCAGCACTAAGGAGATGGGGCTGGGGTGGCATTGCCCAGCTGGGCTATGAGCCTGAAAACAAGAGACACAGCTTTCAATTCTTTTATATGCTTCATATTCCTGCTCCCAGGTTTTTTACAACAGACTCTACACTTGATCTTGGCCAAAAGGCCAAGAAGCAATACTAAGAACAGATTAACAGTAATTACCTGGAATTTGAGAGAGGCCTGATTAATTAAGAGCTAGCCAGAAAATTCTGTTATTGAAAGAAAGCTTTGGAAAAAGATCTCTTCTTACTAAAAGACAAAGTTTAATTATAAAAATATTATGTTATGGCCGGGCACGGTGGCTCACACCTATAATCCTAGCACTCTGGGAGGCCGAGGCGGGCATGCGAGCTCAGTAGTTCGAGACCAGCCTGAGCAAGAGCGGGATTCCCCAGCTCTACCAAAAATAGAAAAAATTAGCCAGGCATGGTGGTGCATGCCTGTAGTCCCAGCTACTTGGGAGGCTGAGACAGGAGGATTGCTTGAGCCCAGGAGTTTGAGGTTGCTGTGAGCCAGGCTCATGCTACGGCACTCTAGCCCAGGCAACAGAGTGAGACTCTGTCTCCAAAAAAAATAAAGAAAGAAACAAGAAAAAAAAATATTATGTTGTTGTAAATAATAGAGATCAAAAGGGGATAAAGTAAAAAGTTAGACTCCCTTCCCTCTCTCATTCCTAATCTCAATCATGTCACCTCTTTTGTACTCTTCACCCTTGAACAGCATGGGTTTGAATTGCGTAGGTCCAATTATTGCCAGATTTTCTTCTGTGTCTGCCACCCCTAAGATGCACCCCCCTCTTCCTCCTTCTCAGCCTACCCAAAGTGAAGATGAGGAGGATGAAGACCTTTGTGATGATCCACTTCTACTTAATGAACAGAAAATATTTTCTCTTTTTTATGATTTTTATTAATAACGTTTTTTTCTCTACCATACTTTATTGTAAGAATAAAGTATATAATATATATGAGACAAAACATATGTTGGCTGTTTATGTTATTGGTAAGGCTTCTGGTCAACAGTAGGCTATTAGTAGTTAAGTTTTTTGGGAAGTCAAAAAAGTTATATGCAGCCTGTAGTCCTAGCTACTCAGGAGGCTGAGGTGGGAGGATTGCTTGAGGCCAGGAGTTTGAGTCCAGCCTAGGCAACATAGACCCATGTCTCAATAAATAAATAAATAATAAATAAAAGTTATATGCAGATTTTCCACTGTGAGGGAGGTCAGTGCCCTGTGTTGTTCAAGTGTTTACTGTATGCTCTAGTGGCTTTCCGTTGAATTTAGAATATAAACCAAACTCCTGGCCAAGGCCACTTGTGATCTGACCCTCCGTGCTTGACTTGGCTTCATTAATTTATGTAATCAATATCTATGGAGTGCTGACCGTCTGTGTTTCCTGTTTAGGAGCTGAGTAAGGGTACACTCTGACCTTTCTGGTCTCCTTCCTCTATAAAAAAATATTAAAAATTATATTTTATGGCTACATGTTATAAAGACACACATACTCTTCGACCTTAATTTTTTTTTTTAAAGTCAGAGTCTCGCTTTGTTGTCTAGGCTAGAGTGAGTGCTGTGGTGTCAGCCTAGCTCACAGCAACCTCAAACTCCTGGGCTCAAGCAGTCCTCCTGCCTCAGCCTCCCGAGTAGCTGGGACTACAGACACACGCCACCATGCCCGGCTAATTTTTTCTATATATATCAGTTGGCCAATTCATTTCTTTCTATTTATGGTAGAGATGGGGTCTTGCTCTTGCTCAGGCTGGTTTTGAACTCCTGACCTCAAGCAATCCTCCCGCCTCGGCCTCCCAGAGTGCTAGGATTACAGGCGTGAGCCACCGCGCCCAGCCTGACCTTAAGGTTTCATGTTTTCTTCTGATTAAAAAAGAAGATTAAAACACTTTTCTGGGTTCATAAAAGTCTCGTGGGTCCTGGACATGGTGCCTGCTGTGCCTAGTGAAGAAGTCTGCCCCCCGGTCCGTGCACCGCACCCTAGCCACTGTGCACCCAACAGCCGCCAACCTTATTCCCACTTTGGAACTTTTGCCTTTGCTTTGGCCTCTAGGAACTATTTCCTCCAGTTTCAGCCCCATCCTGGGTATGTCAGGTTAAATGTAACCTTCCAAGAGAGCCCTTTGAAGGGTATATCTCTAGGTAGGAAAAAAAAAAAATGAAAACAAGAGAGCCCTTTCATGCAACTCTATTTCAAGTAGCTGCTCTCTCACTGGTCACCATCTCGTCCTTTCTTTCCTTCAGAATACTTATTGCACACTGAAATATCTTGTTATTTAAAAAATGTATTCATTGCCTGTCTCCTTCCAGGAGAGGCAGGGTCCTTGAGGGCAACAAGCTTTTTTTTTTTGTCTTATTCACACATAGTTCTCTGTGCCTAGCACAATGTCTAGCATTTAGTAGGTGCTCAGGAGTGAATGAATCCCACCCTTAGAGGTAATAACAGTTAACAGTGTCTTGTGTATCTTCCGAGATATTTTCTGTGTGTGGATGATCTATCATCTATCTATCTTCTCTATATCTGCATCTATTTGAAAAACACAAATAAGATCATACTATACCTGTTTGTAATGCATTTTTTAAAATGTTAAGCTCCCCAGGTGATTCTCTACTATTGTTTTTAAAGTATAAGCTTTAAAGCCTTTCTTTTAAAAAAACATTTGTTATAGTATTGTTTTAGTTTTGTTTGTGTCCTTGCCCCTTCTGTCCTACCTTTTCTGGTAATTTGGAAGATGTATCATGTGTTTGGCGTCCCTTCTAGTAGATATATGTTACATTTAATATACATATCATATATATTGCTTATCATATGAAATTACATACTATGTAAAAATATGCTATTTTTATATATACATTTTATACTTAAATCTCTGTTTTTCAATTGATGCACTTTAGATGGTATATTGGAATGAATAGTGTCCCACCCCCCAAATTCCTGTCCTCATAAAACCTGTGAATGTGGCCTTATTTGAAAATAGTCTTTGCAGATGTAATCAAGTTAAGATGAAGTCATACTGGATTAGGGTGGGTCCCAACCCAATGACTGGTGTCCCTATAAGAAGAAGGAAATTTGGATACAGGGACACACAGGGGAGAACACCATGTGAAGAAGGTAGCAGAGGTTTGAATGATGGGTCTACCAGCCAAGAGATGCCAAGGATGGTTGGCAACCACCAGAGGCTAGAAGACAAGCATGGACCAGATTGTCCTGTGGGGACTCTAGCCTCTAGGAGGAACCCTGCGTTTTGATTTTGGACTTCTGCCTTCAAGAACTATGGGAGAATAGACTGGGCTCGGTGGCTCACACCTGTAATCCTAGGACTCTCAGAGGCCAAGGCGGGTGGATCCCTCCAAGCTCAGGAGTTCAAACCAGCCTGAGTAAGAGCAAGACCCTGTCTCTACTAAAAATAGAAAGAAATTAATTGTCCAACTAAAATACATAGAAAAAAATTAGCTGGGCATGGTGGCACATGCCTGTAGTCCCAGCTACTCAGGGGGCTGAGGCAGAAGGATCGCTTGAGCCTAGGAGTTTGAGGTTGCTGTGAGCTAGGCTGATGCCAGGGAAACAGAGTGAGACTCTCTCAAAACAAACAAACAAACAAACAAAAACTATGAGAGAATAAATTTTGTTGTTTTAAGTCAGCCACTTTGTGACCACAGCCCTTGGAAATGAATACAGATGGTATGTACTGTAGCTTCATCCTATTTTCAGCAGCTTTATGTTTGGAAGTGTAATCATTAGCCTCACAGAGTCTGCCCAGGGTGGGGTTAGATTTCTGTGTAGCTCCAGAGGATAGAATTAAGACGGATGGGTCCTGCCCAGGGGAAATGATACATTTTCCAGAGCCGAAGATGGGGAAAGGTGAGGAAGCTTAATGGGACTCAGGGCCCCAAACAGTGCCTGGTACATAATAGATGCTAAAATGCCATGTATTGGAGGGATGGGCGATATAAAGAGTGGATTTATTGTCTCGTCTGTTGCCTCTTTCAGATGCGGTGGCGGAGTGGAAAGGGAACCCAAGTTGCAGGCTGGAGACCTGGGATCTATGTCCAGGTCCTGCCCTCAACGCTCTATGATCTTGGGCAAGTCCCTTCCTCCCTCTGAGCCTCAGTTTCCCTCATTAGGAGGAAGAGGAGGGACGGGCTGGACCTGAGGTCTCCAAACACCTGGGCTCCTAGGCGGGAGCACTTTAGCGGCTTGGGGTGCCGGGGGCATTGGGAGCTGAGGCTGGGGTCCGGCTCTGCGCCGCCGCTCACCTTCCCGATGTTTCTGCTGCTGTAGGAGTCCAGCAGGTTTAGAAACACCCGCTGGATGCGGATAACCTTCTCCGTCCGGCCAGCGGCGTCCTCTTCGTCACCCATGGCGGGAGCCGCTCTGGTTGCTAAGGGGAAAGCGTCCCCTCGGTTGCCAAGGAGGCGGGGTCGGGTCGCGGATCCCGGGACGCGCGCGAGGGCGTCCCCGCGAGGGTGCGCCTGGAACAGCCCTGCTTCGGCTGCGGGCCCCGGCAGAGCGCGCCCGTCCGGGGAGCCGCCTGGGGCTTCTGCCACAGGGGCCAGCTGGTCTCTCTTCCCTCCGGAAACGCATCCCGGCGTGCACTTGCCTCGATGGCCAAAACCGACGTGAATCAGACGACAAGGAAAAGCCCCGCAGCCCAGGCCTGCTCTGAAAGGTGGGGGTACTTAACGTCCTCCCAGGGCATGGTCTCACCGGGGTGACATGATCCTCCGCTGCAAAGAAAAGCTGTTGCCATGGAGTTTCAGGGTCCTCGACACCCGAGCGACAGCGAGCATGGTCCCCCGCTGGGCAGCCAACTGCTGCTGGTCCCTGGGGCTCCTGGGTCGGAGGCATGAGCAGTTCTGGAAAGAACTCCGGGGGTGATGAAAGGCCTAGAGGCCATCGGTGCCCTGGAGTCCCTCACGTTCACAAAGGGATGAAATTTAGACTTTTGACCTTTTGAAAGGAGAGTATGCAAGCAGTTGCTGACATATACCCACCAATTAGAAGGTAACATTCAACCTTCTTGTTTACAGGGCCACAAAAGTTGTGGTGGACTATGGACATACTGCAGTTATCTTGGAACAGCCTGATTATATCGAAATATTTTTGTCAGGTTGTCAGCTTCAACATTGTGTTGGAATATTTTCTCCAAGTACGTTATGTATATTTTCATTTATTTCTGCAAACCATATTTAATTTTATTATCCCCTTTCACAGAAGCAGAAATTGGTGCCCAGCACTAAGGAGATGGGGCGGGGTGGCATTGCCCAGCTGGCTTATGAGCCTGAAAACAAGAGACACAGCTTCCAATTCTTTATATGCTTCATATTCTGCGTCCAGGTTTTTTACAACAGACTCTACACTTGATCTTGGCCAAAAGGCCAAGAAGCAATACTAAGAACAGATTAACAGTAATACCTGGAAAGAGAGGGCCTGATAATTAAGAGCTAGCCAGAAAAATTCTGTTATTGAAAGAAAGCTTTGGAAAGATCTCTTCTTTACTAAGAGACAAAGTTTAATTATAAAATATTATTTTATGGCCGGCACGGTGGCTCACACCTATAATCTCTAGCACTCTGGGAGGCTGAGGGGGGCATGCGAGCTCAGTAGTTCGAGACCAGCCTGAGCAAGAGCGGATTCCCAGCTTTACCAAAAATAGAAAAAATTAGCCAGGCATGTGGTGCATGCCTGGTAGTCCAGCTACTTGGGAGGCTGAGACAGGGAGGATTGCTTGAGCCCAGGAGTTTGAGGTTGCTGTGAGCCAGGCTCAGGCTACGGCACTCTAGCCCAGGCAACAGAGTGAGACTCTGTCTCCAAAAAAAAAAAAAGAAAGAAACAAGAAAAAAAATTATGTTGTTGTAAATAATAGGAGATCAAAAGGGGATAAAGTAAAAAGTTAGACTCCCTTCCCTCTCTCATTCCTAATCTCAATCATGTCACCATCTTTTGTACTCTTCACCTTGAACAGCATGGGTTTGAATTGCGTAGTCCAATTATGCCAGATTTTCTTCTGTGTCTGCCACCCCTAAGATGCACCCCCTCTTCCTCCTTCTCAGCCTACCAAAGTGAAGATGAGGAGGATGAAGACCTTTGTGATGATCCACTTCTACTATTATGAAACAGAATATTTTCTCTTTTTTATGATTTTATTAATAACGTTTTTTCTCTCCATACTTTATTGTAAGAAATAAAGTATATAATATATATGACACAAAACATATGTTGGCTGTTTATGTTTATGTAAGGCTTCTGGTCAACGTAGGTACTTAGTAGTTAAGTTTTTTGGGAAGTCCAAAAAGTTATATGCAGCCTGTAGTCCTAGCTACTCAGGAGGCTGAGGTGGGAGATTGCTTGAGCCAGGAGTTTGAGTCCAGCCTAGGCAACATAGACCCATGTCTCAATAAATAAATAAATAATAAATAAAGTTATATGCAGATTTTCCACTGTGAGGGAGGTCAGTGCCCTGTGTTGTTCAAGTGTTTACTGTATGCTCTAGTGGCTTTCCGTTGAATTTAGAATATAAACAAACCCTGGCCAAGCCACCTGTGATCTGACCCTCCGTGCTTGAATTGGCTTCATTAATTTATGTAATCAATATCTATGAGTGCTGACGTCTGTGTTCCGTTTAGGAGCTGAGTAGAGGTACACTCTGACCTTTCTGGTCTCCTTCCTCTATAAAAAATATTAAAAATTATATTTTATGGCTACATGTTATAAAGACACACATACTCTTCGACCTTAATTTTTTTTAAAGTCAGGTCTCGCTTTGTTGTCTAGGCTAAGTGAGTGCCGTGGTGTCAGCCTAGCTCACAGCAACCTCAAACTCCTGGGTTCAAGCAGTCCTCCTGCCTCAGCCTCCCGAGTAGCTGACTACAGACACACGCCACCATGCCGGCTAATTTTTCTATATATATCAGTTGGCCAATTCATTTCTTTCTATTTATGGTAGAGATGGGGTCTTGCTTCTGCTCAGGCTGGTTTTGAACTCCTGACCTCAAGCAGTCCTCCCGCCTCGGCCTCCCAGGTGCTAGGATTACAGGCGTGAGCCACAGCGCCCAGCCTGACCTTAAGGTTTCATGTTTTCTTCTGATAAAAAAGAAGATTAAACACTTTCTGGGTTCATAAAAGTCTCGTGGGCCCTGGACATGGTGCCTGCTGTGCCTAGTGAAGAGTCTTCTGTCCGTGCACCGCACCCTAGCCACCGTGCGCCCAAGAGCCGCCAACCTTATTCCCACTTTGGAACTTTTGCCTTTGCTTTGGCCTCTAAGAACTATTTCTTCCAGTTTGAGCCCCATCCTGGGTATGTCAGGTTAAATGTAACCTTCCAAGAAAGCCCCTTTGAAGGGTATATCTCTAGGTAGGGAAAAAAAAAATGAAAATAAGAGAGCCCTTTCATGCAACTCTATTTCAAGTAGCTGCTCTCTCACTGGTCACCATCTCATCCTTTCTTTCCTTCAGAATACTTATTGCACATTGAAATATCTTGTTATTTAAAAATGTATTCATTGCCTGTCTCCTTCCAGAGAGGCTGGGTCCTTGAGGGCAACAAGCTTTTTTTTTTTTTTTTTTTTTGTCTTATTCATACATAGTTCTCTGTGCCTAGCACAATGTCTAGCATTTAGTAGGTGTCAGGAGTGAATGAATCCACCCTTAGAGGTAATAACAGTTAACAGTGTCTTGTGTATCTTCCAAGATATTTTCTGTGTGTGGATGATCTATCATCTATCTATCTTCTCTATACTACATCTATTTGAAAAACACAAATAAGATCATACTATACCTGTTGTAATCATTTTTAAAATGTTAAGCCCCCAGGTGATTCGTTACAAAAACAAAAACAAACCACATTTGCTTAAAAAAGAAAAAAAGAAACTGCAAGAAAACAGAAATTTCTCAACTACTAAGAACAATTCAGAGTAAGGGTAGCCAATCAATGATGATTCTAGAAACTAGCCTTTATTGAGGGCTTGTTAGGTGCCACACAGGCAAGACAAATGATTTTCACACTGTCACCTCCTTTGAGTCGATTTAACTCCCATGATAACACAGTGAGGCGGGCCCTGTGATGATTCCCTGTTTTATAGACAAGGAATTCAATCTGGGAGAGCTTCAATAACTTGCTGAAGGGTTCTACCCTGCTACAGCAGAGGTAGCTCTGGAGCTGGGCTGTCGTGAAGGTGTTTCTCTTGTCCATTAGAAATACAGAAATGTAATATGAGCCACTTAGGTAATTTAAAATTTTCTAGTAGCCACATTTTAAAAAGTGACAGGAAACAGATGAAATTAATATAAATAATTATATATTAATTATGTTATTTAATCCAATATATCTGAAATATTAATTTAATATGTAATCAATATACATTTATTAATGAGATATTTTACATTTTTTTTTTCATATGAAGTCTCTGAAATTCTATGTGCATCTTACACTGATAGCACATCTTCATTTGGACCAGCCACCTGTAAGTGTTCAATGGCTACACTTGGCCAGTTGCTATCGTGTTTAATGATGAAATAGAATGAAGTTGACGAAGTTTCTTTTCTTGTTTTACAAAAGCTATCCTTGACAGTGGCTCATGTAAGGTTTCAGAATTTCATTCACATGTATGTAAATTATCACTTATATATGTTAATCATTTTATGTTAATTTATATATTAAACATATATAAATAATCATGGCATTAACATACCTTGGGAATAAAAATATAGCAAAACCAAACAAACAAAAAGTCCCACCTCATTTATTTTGCTAAAAAACAGTACAAGTTAGCATGGAGATCGCCCAAATTCCTGTCCTCGTAGAACCTGTGAATGTGGCCTTATTTGAAAATAGTCTTTGCAGATGTAATCAAGTTAAGATGAAGTCATACTGGATTAGGGTGGTCCCAACCCAATGACTGGTGTCCCTATAAGAAGAAGGAAATTTGGATACAGGGACACACAGGGGAGAACACCATGTGAAGAAGGTAGCAGAGGTTTGAATGATGGGTCTACCAGCCAAGAGATGCCAAGGATGGTTGGCAACCACCAGAGGCTAGAAGATAAGCATGGACCAGATTGTCCTGTGGGGACTCTAGCCTCTAGGAGGAACCTGCGTTTTGATTTTGGACTTCTGCCTCAAGAACTATGGGAGAATAGACTGGGCTCGGTGGCTCACACCTGTAATCCTAGGACTCTCAGAGGCCAAGGCGGGTGGATCCCTCCAAGGTCAGGAGTTCAAACCAGCCTGAGTAAGAGCGAGATCCTGTCTCTACTAAAAATAGAAAGAAATTAATTGTCCATAAAATACATAGAAAAAAATTAGCTGGCATGGTGGCACATGCCTGTAGTCCCAGCTACTCAGGGGCTGAGGCAGAAGGATCGCTTGAGCCTAGGAGTTTGAGGTTGCTGTGAGCTAG